AAGAACCGCCCCTTAAGGGTGACGTTTAATGGTGTGAAACACATGATGGAAGTGCTAAGAAATGCCAGGAAACTGCAGTGATGAGGTTAGCAAACTTTGGTCAATAAGACAAGACCTCTCCAAGGAAGACAGAGAAAAGCTGAAAATGAACCTTAATTGAGGCAAAACGTCTAAATGGGGATAGAAATGAAGAAGACAGAAATTCTTTTTTTTACAAAGTGACAGGGACTGGAAAGCTTGTGAAATGGTACATAAAAACAAAGCAACAAGATCATTAGTGGAAGGGGGAATAAAGAGCAAAGGAAAAGGGAACATGTTCCTGAAAATTGTATATACCAACATAGATGGAGTGAGGTCAAAAACTTTGGAGTTGCAAGATATAATCCAGCTTAAGGTCCCAGATATTGTTGCATTATCAGAGACGAAACTTGAAGGAAATATTTTAAATGAAGTCGTATTCCCAAGAGGCTACTCAGTTTGGAGACGTGACAGGAACTTCCTTCCCCACTAGGAAGGGGGGAGGAGTGGCTGTGCTGGTGAAAGAACACCTGAAGGTAAAAAGAGTTAATACTTGAAAACCCTCGAGAAGTTGACATAATGGCATTGCAGGTCTGGAATCAGGATGATAAACTGATAATTGTAAATGCCTACAGCCCACCAGCAAGCAACACATGGACAAAGGAAGAACTGGATGACAAACGAGAGGGCCTCATAATGGTCATGAGAGAGATTATTGTACAAGCAGATAAAGATAAATCATGACTGTTGATACTTGGTGACTTCAACTTTAAAGCAATAGACTGGGAGGCCTACAAAGCAAGAACAGAGGACTGTATTTGGACAGGCAGATTTGTAAACCTCATTCTGGGGACATTCTTGTATCAACATGTTAAGCAGGCCACAAGAATAAGGGAAGAGGATAATCCATTGATGCTGGATTTGATAATCTGGAAAGAAGAGATATTTGACATAAAGTACCTTCCTCCCTTAGGTAAAAGCCACAATGTCCTTTTGGAAATAAAATATGCAATGCATTATAATCAAGGAGAGAATGGGGAATGAAACAAATGAAAACTTGAGTTCAGGAGAGGTAAACAAAGGGAACTTAGCAAAAATTTATTGCAATTTAATTGGAAAGATTTGTTGTTAGCCAAAGAAATAAATAAGATGTATGCCAAATTTTGAGAGATATGATAAAATACTGTACAAGAAAATTTGTGAAGACAGACACAGAACTGGAAATCAGGATTGGTTCTACATAAATTGAGGGGGCCAGAGAACACGAAACAAAAAAAAAAGTAATCGGTATAGGAAGAGGCTTAATCCTCACATATACCCCACAATGCAAGCAAGCAAGCAAAAAACGACTACATGGCAGTGAAAAGAGAGGCAGAATAAAATTTTGAGAAAGAGATGCAAATAAGTGTAAAACAGAACCAAGCTATTCTAGAAATTCATTAAATGCAGATCGCAGGTAAAGAATAAAATTCAGATTAAAAATGAAGAACAGATTCAAGAAGAATAAAAAGGAAATGTGTAAAACTAACAATTTCAAAATGTGTTTGTCCGATTCTCTAGTTTTCAGAGAACCAGACACAATACGAATTTCAGAGAATAGCAGAGTACATACAGGTGTTTCAAGATGAAGTGGAAAATATGCTAAAGGAGCTAGGTTGAAACAAGGCAGTTGGCCCAGATGGAGTTTCACCTCATAATAAGAGAATATGCATCGAATGGAACCCCGAGCCCTGGCATGACCCCTCTGGGAAGGCCCCTCCCGGGATACCCAGAAAACCAACAACATAGGTTGTCCTATGTCAGACATAGGACAACAACTAGTCGAGGCAGCCTGCAAATACTGTGCCATAGCAGAATCCGCAAAAAGCAGAGGACAAAAAGGAGAAGACATCCTAAGAATCAGGGACCAGGCCAATTCCAGAGAGGAGGTAAGTACTGCCTGCCGACATGCGAGCCGGGAAGTGTAAAACAGTGAAACCACATCCCGCAGGATCGGCGCAAAGAGCTTCAACAAGGTAGGCAACGAGCGAGCAGCCGAGCCCATAGCACCGGACCCAGGAACGGCCCTAAGCATCCCCACATCCTCCTCAAGCCAGTCCGAAGACAGCTCCAAGAGGGAAAAGGAACGAAGGCCGGAGCCAAGAGGCCTCGAGCGTGCAAGTCCTCGGCAACCTGCGCAGCAGAAATGGAGGGAGCTGCACATGGAGCTGCACTACGCCAACATCCCAGGGAAGGGCAGGAGCAAACAAGTACTCATTGAGGTGCTCAAGGTCGCCACCCCCCCCCCCCCCCCCCTCCAGGAAAACCTGAATCACCGTCGAAGCCTCGCGCCACTCAAGCGTGCGGGAACAACAGAAGAAATGTCAAGCCTCCAAAGCAAACACAGGATAGTCCGCCAGCCAGGACGACTCTGGAACCTCATAACGGACCCAGAAAAGGAACGACGTCCTAAACCTGAAAGAAGACGGATCCATAACCGAGGCAAAATCGGGGTCGCGCAGGAGGTAAGCCGCTAGGGATGCCCGCACCACAGACAGTTGGATGCGGTAAGCCGCAAACCTCCGTAAAGACGGAACCGACGCACCCGGGGGGACACGGAACCGAGGCCGGGGAGGGGCAGATACCAAATCCAATACATAGGCAGAGGGGGGAAAAGAGAACCCCACTCCTTGTAACATTAAGCTTCGCTCAGAGGGCAGAAAAACGAGGAGGGGTCCAATGGGGACCAAGGCCACCAAGTCTGCCCCTCCCCGACCCCAGGATCCTCCACCGCAGGACCCGGGGCCGACTCATCCCCCAAAGCACTGGCCTCAAAAGAAAAGGCCGGCGCAGCCGAATAAGCCGGACGGAAGGGGGCTCACTGGTCAGACCCAGAGGCTTCGGCTGGGAGATCGGACTCGAATGTCTCCGTCGCCTCACCGAAAGGAGCATCCCCCAAGACTGCCCGAGTTTCAAGACCATCTAAACCCTGATCCGACTCCAAAACCCTCAGACATTTTGGGGCCGGATGCAGGGGAGGGGGGGGGGGACCAGAACGAACCACAGCAGGGGAAAGGACGAGGGGTTGTGTACTGAACCAAGGCCGAAGCGACCATCACCCCAAAGTCCTGGTCCCTATAAGCAAAACGGGGCAGCCTAAGGGCATCCGGGTGAGCAACCAACCTAGCGCATTGCAACAACCTAAAGCACACATGCAATGCCTGTGCTGCCTGTACCTGCAAAAGATCATCATTAGTTTGGGGAAATTGAGTCACCAGCAAGCAGAAAAACTCGCAGGACTCCGGGTCGAAAGTGTCACCGACCCAACAGGCAGCGTGACGGAGACAAAAACAGTGAGGGTCACCCTAAGACCAGGGGACCGAGCAACCCTCAAACTCGCACGAAGCGAGGGGAGACTCAGGGGTCACATCCATCGGACCCATGCGCCCCCTGGGGTTTTCCAGGGTCCTGAGACGGAACTCACGCTCAGGGATTACAGTTTCAAATGTAGATATGACAGAGCCCAGTAGGCTCAGGAATCTATACATCAGTTGATTGACAGTTGAGAGGCGGGACCAAAGAGCCAGAGCTCAACCCCTGTAAGCACAAATAGGTGAGTACTCACAGGGACCTAGCAGGGGGTACCACCAGAAGAGAGCCATATTCAGGTCAGGCACAAAGGGGCAACAAGCAAGGCAGACCTCCCCCACCAGGCAAAAACAAAAACATAAAGAAAACCCCGCAAGAGGACAACGTACCCAAGAGTAACAGAGCCGGCCACTGTGAATGGTGAAAACAAGCTGCACAGTACTCTGCGCCCCTTATCAGTGCAAACTGCCTCTTACCCTAAGGTAAACAAGGGAGACAAAACCCCCAAGTACCCAAAGGGCGGCCAAAAAACCGAGCAGTAAAACCGCCTATCAGAGGGAGGACCCAAGGAACTTGTGGAAGGTGGCTCCAAGCCCCAAAGGCAGTAATTACAGGGCACCTAGGGATGACAACCCTAGGCGCATGCAGCCTGAGTACTGTAGAATAACTCCTGGCAACCCCTGGAGGACAGCCACCACACTCAAAGCACAGTGCTGAAAATCATTGGAGCCAGAGCACATGACATTCACCTCTAGCATCAGCCTTAGAACTGAAGGGTGGATAGCCGGCGCTGGGGTCTGGGGCTCCCCCTTCCCTCTCCTAAGCAGTAGGGAGCTGCACAGACAGCGGCGCGGCGATGTAATGTCATGCTCGTTTGCTCGTTTCTTTTTGGGGAGTTCTATCCACTAGTTCAGCTTTTGGTAGCAATTTTTCACCAGAATAGGGATTTGTTTTGGGACGCTTACCTTTCTGGGTACCTGACCTGGTCGATGGCAGACATAGAATGCTTCCAACCACACAGGGGTTTCTATAGGCCATTACTTCCCACGCCTCTCTGAGGGGGCCAGGTTCTGGTTCGTGGTCCCCAGTAGGCCCACAGAACTCCATACACATGACTGATGCTAAAGTATGACATTAGCATATTAGCCTGGATAGCTCCAGAAAAAAAAGTTATCCCAGAAAATCCCCAGAAAAGCAGACAAACAATGAAATTCTTCACAAAGAATTTAAAGCATGCCCGCATTTGTCACTACGCACGATAGACTTGTAAACAAACTGAGAGCACCTTGCCCTGCGCCCCCAACACCACTCACTCATTCAACCCATACGCGTACGAACAGATGTTGTCTTTCAAGTAAACCGTCGTCTTCCAATTAAAATTTTACAATGAATTTGACGTCGTGTTCCAAGAAATTTGTCTTCTAGGACAGTCGTCAATCAAGGTTCCACTGTATACGGTATATATATATACTTTTTTATTAAATCTGGAATATTCTAAAAAAAAAAGTTATCACACACTCATTAACTTTTGAGAGATATGGCATCAATCAAGAAATAATTAGTGTTCAGTGAAACCATACTCAGCAAATTTACTAGAATAACTACAGTACAATGTTTCCACATACTGTACTCACCTGGTACTCGGGGCTCTGTGGTGTCCATATGAAAGGTTATAACCCCTGTTGGGAGGTCTATGAGTGTGTTTTCTGACATCAAGCTGGTACCCTTGTAGACCTATAGAATAATGGAATATCCAATTATCATTTACATCTTGTGGATGTTGATCTGTACAATTTCTTCAAAAGGTCAGATGTAACACAAACAAGGAGCAACAGTTCCAAGCTCTACAAGCCTCAATGTAGTACAGAGAACATGAGATGCTATTTCACCAACAGGATTATAAACCCATGGAACCGAATATCTGTCAAAACCGTAAATGCTAAAACTGTGTTAAGTTTTAAATTCTACCTGGAAAAGACCTTCATGGCAAATGAAAGGAACCTTCGATAAGCTGCCAGCATCCTGTCCTTATCGAGGAAACTAGGGTTAGTGGACCTCAGGTAAATTAGGTTAAAAGAAATAGCGTTGAATGTAACGAAACGCCAGTTTCTGGGTGAGCCCTGGAGGCTCTCTGAAGCTATCTTACTGATCAAGTGCCATACTACTTGAGTGTTATCAGTCGCACTGTAAGCCTACCAAGGAACATAAACCAGAACCTTTCCCTCTCAGAGTGGCAAAAAGAGCGTGGCCATGAACACTTTATACTTAAAGTACTGTATGTCAATTTGCCATCGACCGGGGAAGAACCCAGAAAGATAGGCAAATCAAAAAACCAGTGTTGAATGTAATGAAACACCATTTTCTGGGTGAGCCCCGGAGGCTCCCTGAAGCTTATCGGGCTAATGTATATTATATTAGACCCGGACATTAGCTATGGAGTTCAGACCTACCAGTGACCAGCGCCAGAACCTGGCCCCTTCAGAGAGGTTTCAGGGAGCAATGGCCCTGGAAAACCCAATTGTGGTTGTGGTTTTTCCTTATCTGCCATCGACCGGGGTTAGGCACACAGAAAGGTAGGCATAACAAAACAAACCCCACATGGTAAGAAACTAAAACAAAAAAATGAACAGAAAGGTAGAAACTCCCTACAATCCCAAGGAAACAATCAAACGAGCAATTATCACAATTTACTGCAGCGCCGGTCGTCTGTGCAGCCCTCCCCTTCCCGAGAGGGGGGAGGGGGGACCCGGACCTCACCGCGCCGGCTGCTTTTAGTTCGGAAACTAGGCTTCAACCAACGCGAAAAAACCCCGCTGACCGAATGGGAGAGAGGGTAGCCAGGGAGCCTCCGGGGCTCACCCAGAAAATGGCATTTCATTACATTCAACGCTGGTTTTCTGTGGGGAGCCCCTATGGCTTCCTGGAGCTACATACCCAAAGAGAAGAAAAAGAGGGACTTACCCGGGAGGCGGCGCCTACAAACTCCTCAACTTGAAGTCAAGACAACTGGCTGCAACCTGCGACCCAAAGCAACACAAGAACGCCAAGGAGCAGGTACGTTCACCAAATACCAGGTGGCCAGGACCCTGTTCATTTTCCAAAATCCACGTGCCCGAATATGAGCCCAAGACATGTTACCAAACACGGCAGCCAAAGCTGCAAACTTCCGAACGCCATGGGCGCGAGGATAGACCGCAGGCTGGCTAGACTTAATAACCCTGTGGACAGCCTGGTGAGATCCGAGCCCTGGAACAGGGAATAAGGGAAACCGGATCAACCCAAAGCGCATCCCCAGCCACCCCAGCTGAGGTGCGCAGGTAACAACGAAGTGCTGCAACCGGACACAACACATGATGCACCCCCGGCCGAACCAACTAAGCATTAATGACCCACGGAACCCTCCAGAAAGCAGCCGTCTCGTTCTTCCCCAGAAAAGATGGAAAAGGCTGCAAACAGACAAACCTAACCCCAGGACCAAATAGAGCAGAAACCCCTGCGCTGGAGGAGAGCATGAAGCTCCCCTACCCGGCCCCCAGAGGCCAATGCCAACAAAAACAAAGCCTTAGAAAAATAATCTGGAACCGAAGGGGCCACCACAAACCAAGGAGAGGAAAGATAGGAGAGCACCCTGTCCAAGGACCAGGATGGCTCAGGCGGCGCATGAGCAGGCCGAAGGTGAAACATAGCACGAGAAAGCTTACGGAATGGGGCGGATGTGACGTCCACCCCGAATGCTAGCTTGAGCGGCTCCGCAAGCGCCACACTGTACGAGGCGACAGTATTAGGAATCAAATGAAGGTCCTGAAAAAGACAAGAAAGAAAGGACAAGACAACCCGGTCCGAAAGATAAGACAACCTACGAAGAGCAAGAAAATGGTGAAAAGAACGCCAGGAAACTTCATACTGTCGCCGAGACGAAGTTCTCAGGTGGGACACCATCTACGAAGCCACCTGATCACCATAGAAATGGTGATACACCTGCGTTAAAAAAAAACAGACGTGAAGAGCAGAGGAGAAGGTCGAACCAGCCCCAAGAAGTCCACGTCTGGGAGACAGTACATCTGGCAGATCCAATGAAACATGTCGTCGTCGACCGTCCATTCCGTGGACAGGGGAATGAAGCGAGACAGGCCGTCCTCCTGGACGTTGGACACTCCCCGGACATGAACTGCACGGAGAGCCAAACCCCGAGAATCCAGCAGATGAACTACTCAAAGGGACCAACCCCAAAGAGCCAAAGACTGAACAGAACCCCCGTGGTTCAGGCAATGAACCACCGGAGAACAGTTCGAATGGAGGCAAATGGTCGATCCCTGAGAGACCCAAACCCTCCGAAGCGCGAACAAGACTGCTGCAAACTCCCGAACTGTGCTGTGAGCCCAACGGAAGGATGGACCCCACCGTCCCTGGCTGGCCTGGTGAGCACTGGTCACAAAGCCCCAGCCGAGAGACGACGTGCCCGTGAACACATCGAGTGAAGACTCAGGAAGGCGCCAAGGCACTGAACCCTGAAATCCCCAAAGAGGAAGCTGGTGACGCAGCAACCGACACAAGGTCCCCAGAGGACGAACCCAACGATTGCGAGAGAGGTGGAAGGGACGTCCCTGAAGGAACCAAAAACCAGCGTTGAATGTAATGAAACGTCATTTTCTGGGTGAGCCCCGGAGGCTCCCTGGAGCTTATCGGGCTAATGTATGTTATATTAGACCGGGACATTAGTTAAGAGTTCAAACCTACCAGGGACCAGCGCCAGAACCTGGCCCATTCAGAAAGGTTTCAGAGAGCAATGGCCCTGGAAAACCCCTTTGTGGTTGGGGTTTTCCTTATCTGCCATCGACTGGGGTTAGGCACCCAGAAAGGTAGGCATAACAAAACAAACCTACATGGTAAAAAACTAAAACAAAAAAACGAACAGAGAGGTAGAAACTCCCTACAAGGGGCTGTTATTACAAGGGGCCCCCCCTATTAGAGGGGCTGGTCCCAAACCTGCACACAGAAATAACATCACATGAGACCAAAAGACATGGCAGGATGTGCAGAATACCCCCGTTGAAAAGCAGAGGTGCAACATTCTCTGAGAGAGAACTCTATCAACATCAGAGGCCCGAGACTGTTCAACACGCTTCTGCTACACATAAGGGGCATAACTGGCAATCCCCTCACAGTGTTCAAGAGAGAACTGGATAAGTACCTCCAAAGGATACCTGATCAACCAGGCTGTGACTCATATGTCAGGCTGCGAGCAGCCGCGTCCAACAGCCTGGTTGATCAGTCCAGCAACCAGGAGGCCTGGTCGACGACCGGGCTGCGGGGACGCTAAGCCCCGGAAGCACCTCAAGGTAACCTCAAGGTAAGGTACAATCACAAGGAAACAAGCAAACATCACACGTTACTGTCGCACCGATCGTCTGCGCAGCCCTCCCTGCCCCGAGAGGGGGAGGGGGGAGCCCTGAACCTACCTCGCCGGCTGCCAAGCTTCAGTTCGGAAGCTAAGCTTAAACCAACGCGAAAAAAACGCCGACCGGTGGGAGGGAGGGTTGCCAGGGAGCATCCGGGGCTCACCCAGAAAATGGCGTTTCATTACATTCAACGCTGGTTTTCTGTGGGGAGCCCCTACGGCTTCCTGGAGCTTCATACCCAAAGAGAAGGAAAAGAAAGGGCTAACCCAGGAGGCGGCCGCCACAAACTCTGCAACGCGAAGCTGAGACAACAGGTTGCAACCTGCGACCCAAGCCAACAAGAACGCACAGAAGCAGACGCGCATAAAGAATGGGCGGCCAAGAACCTGTGCAACCCTCAAATCCCTGCGCCCGAAATGAGCCCTAGACGTCACCAACACAGCAGCAAAAGCTGCAAACGTCTGAACAGCATGGGCGCAAAGACAGACCACAGGCTAGAAGAATAAAAAAACTCTGCGGACGACCTGGGAGAACCGAGCCTTAAAAACAGGGAACGAGGGGAACAGGATCAACCACAGCGCATCCCGGTACACAGGTACACAGGCAACCGCAAAAAGCTCAACCGGACAACACAGGATGCACCCCCGGCCAAACCAATCAAGCATCAATAACCCAAGAACCCCTCCGGAAAGCAGCTGTCTCGACCGTCGCCAGGACGGAGAAAGGCTGCACACGTACAAATCAACCACCAGTACCAAAGAGCAGAAACCTGAACCGAAAGGGCTACCACAAACTGAGGAGAAGATAAGAAGGCACCTTGATCAAGGACCAGGACGGCTCAGGAGACGCATGAGCACACCGGAGGTGAAACAAAACACGAGAAATCGTACGAAACATCATACTGTCGCCAAGACGAAGCTCATAGGTGGGACACCATCAACAAAGCCACCTGAACACCAACGAGATGGTTATACCCGTGTCAAAATACCAGACGTGAAGAGCCGAGGAGAAGGCCGAACCAGTCACGAACAGGACCGATTCGACCTGCCGAAAGAGGCGGAGTCGCGGGAAAACGCCCCGGGTTCGGACACCTATCAAGCAGCGTCTGAAAATAAAGCTGGGCCGGCCACCAAAGAACCATAAGGACTGCTCTCGAGGGAATGGGCTGCAACCAAGCCAGAACCCGAAGCAACAGCTAGACCGGGAGAAGAGGAACAGGTACCCGCACCTCAACCATCCACCGTGAACGCCTCGCAGATGGGTAAGGGCGCCACATAAAATGAGCGACGCCTAGACCACGGCGACTCGAAGACGTCCATGGCCAGGAGTCTATAC